TCAGTGGCTTCATAAAGATGTTAAAGAGCACTGGGGATAGAACAGTGTCTTGTGACACTCGACTGTTCAACAGTCAAGGAGCCAAAATGCAATCTTTGGCCTGCTGCCTGCAGGTGCACCGGAGAATGTTATCTTATTGACAGTGTTGAAGTTAAGATTCAACTGCCAGTCCAGTTGAGGACATCTTGTCCTTTGCCTCAGACAGCAAAGTATCTTGGACTGGACTTAAATTAAAGTAATTGCTGTGATTGGCAGAATTGGCACTTCTACACTGTACCCTTTCCGTATTTGTAAGCACTTGATTATTTAGTGTGATAGCACCTGCCTTTTAGAACTCTCTGCCTATTGAGATTAAGCAGACGCCTTCATTGTACTCTTTTGGGTGCCTACTAAAAACATTCTTGCTTAGACAAACTCACCCAGATGCTTAGAAAGTTGAGGTAATATTAATCTATTTTAGCATTTTACGGAAACTTCATTTTTAATATATCAACCAATAAGTAACAGATTTTTCTCCCTGCTGTTAAAATCAACATGAAATTGTCTCAAGAATTTCTTTCAAAAATCTTTCCCAAAGAAATTATAAAGGGAACAAAATAATACATAAGGAACAATGGTTTTACAAGGTATTTCACTATATTTCCTTCTCTCTAAATATGCTACGAGCATAGCTTGAAATTTCAACAATAAATGCATTCCTCTTTGTGCCAACAGAAAATTTGACAAAATAGGAAGACCACAATCAGATTTAACAGAATAAAACGGCAAAAATGGCAGTTCGGCAATTACCAGTAATATCTGGTTACCGAAAGGTCCCACTCTTTAACTTTATTTTTTATACACAACTTTGCAGATATAGGAGTAACAGCCTCAAGGTCATCAGGAAAGAGTCCATAAAGATTAAAATCAAGTTTCAGCTATCTTTTATTTTCTGAACAAGCATGCACACTAAGCGATCGCGCTAACAATTAAAGCTTCTAGATTCAGGTAGGTAGCCGTGTTGGTCTGACACAGTTGAAATAAATTAAAAAATCAAAAATTGTCCAGTAGTACCTTAGAGACCAACGAAGTTTGCAACTAAAGATTTATTTTAAAATCTTTCATTTTGCTATCCATACAAGGTTCTCACAGCAGTTTCGAAACTGAAAAACAAATACGCATCATCTGCCAGTAAATTCATACGCTTGAGGTGTATGTTTTTAGGACCCACCTTATTTTTATGGTTGGAAGTGGTTTAAAATTGTTTTATATTGTGTTTTAATGCTGTAACCTGTCCTGGGATCTTATGGTGAAGGGTGAGTAATAAATAAATTATTAATAGTAACAATAAACTCACATAATTAAAAAGAAAAATAACACAAATAGCCAAATTGTCTCGGTATTTAAAATATACTGTATATATCAACTATAAATGCAGCAGTAAATTATTAGCAATTAATTATCCAATTTAAATAAAAATATCTGATGTATTATTATTTCAAGTCATTGATTTATATCTACAGTACTCTGGCACAGGCAGTGAAGAATGAAGCAGAGTTACACTCTGAGCCCATACAGAAATTAATAGGTTTAAGCTTATCTCTGCATAGATCAGTATCTTAACCTTACAAGGACTTTACTGGTCAGGTTATACAGGTTTATGTTACTATGGGCAACAGAGTAGTAAAGTGAAATAGAATTGTCATCAAACTTGACCTTGAAGCTTGTAAAGAAAATCAGTAGATTACACTAATGTCAAGAAATTGCAAAGCAGAACCACCACATAAATTTAACATATGTTTTTTGGCAAAGAAATAGAAAGCCAAAGACTTGAACAGTTTTTCAAAGCTGGGGGGAAAAAACAGGAATGTGGTTAGAATCTTGTATATTATAACAGGCAGTTTTGCCCTCTCCATTTAAAGGAGTTGCCACTGTAATATGTTTTTAACTACAAGAACATTCCTACTTCCCTTAAGAAAGGAAAGCAACAAAAAAGACAGGGAAAAGCTCTCACAAACAAGCACTAAAGTAGCTTACAAATCCATTCAGTTTTATCATTTAACTACTATGCTTGGATAAATAAGGCTGAAACACTACACACACACACTTGGGAGAAACATACTGAGTACAGTGGTACCTCTGGCTGAGAACAGGATCCATTCCAGAGCCCTGTTCTCAACCTGAAAGGAACGCAACCCGGGTCTGCACACGCGCAGGTCGCGATTTGCTGCATCTGAGCATGCGCGTGATGTCATTTTGCGCATCTGCAAAAACGTATCATGCAGCAAACGTAACAAGAGGTATGACTGTAAACAGGATTAGGCTAGCAAGGCATTAAGAGAGAGAGTGTGTGTGTACAAGATAGTATCAGTATTAAAATAATCATAAACTATAAATAGGAGTAAGATTATAATTATATTAAGATTATAATCTTAAGAAGTAACTTCCCTTTTTGTCAAGTCTAGCAAACTCAGTTTTAACATATTGTTAGGGGTTTGTGGGTACCAGATTCCTCCAAATTTCTGGGTCCAGTAGGGGTTAGAATTTAATCAAGGCAAATGTTAAGCCATGCCTGTTTCTTGATCAGGAAATTGCCTGGGGTGATTGACCATTTGGAAGACAAAAGGAAGGTAATGGCCCAGTGTTGTTGTTTAGTCATGTCTGACTCTTCGTGACCCCATGGACCAGAGCACGCCAGGCACTCCTGTCTTCCACTGCCCCCCACAGTTTGGTCAAACTCATGCTGGTAGCTTCAAGAACACTATCCAACCCTCTTGTCCTGTGTCGTCCCCTTCTCCTTGTGCCCTCCATCTTTCCCAACATCAGGGTCTTTTCCAGGGAGTCTTCTCTTCTCATGAGGTGGCCAAAGTATTGGAGTCTCAGCTTCAGGATCTGTCCTTCCAGTGAGCACTCAGGGCTGATTTCCTTAAGAATGGAATGGGCCAGTAGGAAAGCTAAATGAGAAGGGACTATGTGCCAGACAACAAATGGGAGGGGGCCCTTCTTCCTTCAGCTCAGAGTTAGTTAGAAGAACAAAAGTCAGGGTTTAGAGGTTTAAAGTGGGCTGGATGTGGGGGAAGTGGGAGGTTGCAGGCTGTTAAAGTCAGCAATCTAGAGAGAGGAATGGCTTAGGGGGTTGGACTAGATGACCCTCAGGGTCCTCCCAACTCTACAATTCTGTGATTCTGTTTTAATAGTTGTGTCTACGGGAAAAGCAAGACCCTCTTGGGGGAGTTAATGCTGCGAACCCCTCCATCATAGGCTCAGGTTGTATATATGTGTAAATAAACCATATATCACAAAGACACCACAGTCTCCTGTATGTCTTATTCTCAAAAGGAAACACAGACCCTGGGTAAACAAGCCTGGAACCCCAGAAATCTCACATGAGAGCTTTTCAAACTGCATTTCTGCCTTTCACACATGCAATCCAGCAGGAGGGGAAGTGCAAATGGATTGTAAATGGTATGTATGAAATCTGTGTGGTGTACCTTACCTACACCACTGTGTGAAACTTCTCATGCTCCGACGCCTTTTCATCTCTTCATTACTGAACCAAGGACTATCATGCGCAGCAGCATAGTATAAGCGGGACAGCACGTTCCTAGCCACTGGAACCTCCTGTATCTATCTAGGCATGCAAAAAACAAAAAACACTGCTTATACCGATTAGGAACCTAGGAAGCAGTCTTAGTCTGTCTACCTCAGTATTGTCACCATGATTAAGAACAATTCAGACAAGGGCCTTTCCCAGTCCTACCCAGGGGGGTTGCCAGGGATTGACATGGGAATTTCTTGCACTTGGAACAGGTGATGTGTCACCAAGACAAGTGCGAGGCTCTTTGGATTTTCCTCAGAGACCCCCTGAAATCGAAGTGCCTAACCGAGCCGCATCCTCGATTATATATACTGTAAATCTAACGACTCAAATAAAAATAATACAGTGGTACCTCGGGTTAAGTACTTAATTTGTTCTGGAGGTCAGTACTTAACCTGCAACTGTTCTTAACCTGAAGCACCACTTTAGCTAATGGGGCCTCCTGCTGCTGCCGCACCGCCGTAGCACAATTTCTGTTCTTATCCTGAAGCAAAGTTCTTAACCTGAAGCACTATTTCTGGCTTAGTGGAGTGTGTAACCTGAAGCGTATGTAACCTGAAGCGTATGTAACCCGAGGTACCACCGTAATCGATTTGTTTCAGTGGGGCACTCTGGGGGCGGCGAGTGTCCATATTCAGAACAGAACAGGGCATTTCCCAGCGCCCTCATTTGTGAAAACGAGCAAGGCCTTCAATAATAACAGAAGCAGGCCTAACCTTTTCCTTCCAAGTAGCCCGTCTGACAAGACTTTAGAACGGCTAACATCCTTCCTGAACTCAGGGCGCTTTCATTGTGGGGTTTTTTACAGGTTGAACAATGAAGCCTCTCTGGAAGATGGCATGGTAGCAAGCGGTCTCCTCAAATTTCCAACCGCTTGCCATTGACAATTTTCTTTTTGTAATAATAATAATAATAATTTATTATTTATACCCCACCCATCTGGTTGGGCTGCCCTCAACAGAATATTAAAAACATAATGAAACTTTTGTCCATCAAAAGTACCTGGGTCTAATAATAATAACAATAATAATAATAATCCCAATATACCTACTGATTTTTGCCACTGAAGTGCATAAATTTATTATTACTATTATTATTATTACTACTACTATTATTATTATTATCATTATTAGCAGCAGCTTGTGCCTCAGCTGATGTCAGTTTACTGGGGTTAAAAAATAAAAAAGCGTCCCATGGGGCATTTTCAAACGCCTAAGCTTTCATCTCCGGCTTCTCGGCCTCCGCCTCTCACCGTGAAGAAGGACCCCATCACTCGAGGCGGGAAGAACCGCCGAGCCCGCTTTAGGCGTCTACCGCAGTGCCTGGTGCTGCTACTGCTCTTTTCTCAGAGCAGAGCTGGGAAAGGGAGGGGAAAGGGAGGGGTCCTCCGGGGATAGCTGTCCTTGTGAGCGCCTATGCGCCTAAGGGTTTCCGGTTCCGGTGAGTCAGTGTCTGTGTCTCTCTGAGGGAGACCGAGCGAGCGGCTTTTGCCTGTGAAGAAGCTGCGGGAGACTGGGAGCCGGACGCGGGCCCAGCATGGCGGACGGCGACGCGGAGCGGGCCGATGGCCGCATTGTGAAAATGGAGGTGGACTACAGCGCCACCGTGGACCAGCGCTTGCCCGAGTGCGAGCAGATGGCCCGGGTGAGGGACTGGGCCGAGGAGGGGCTGAGTCATGGCGTGGCGGGCCGGCCTAGGCCGCGTCGCTCAGAGCCGGCGGCAGCTTGGCCCTGAGGGGAAGGTCGCCGCCGTCCGGCCAAGGGAGGACGGCGGCGCGGGTTGGAGGGCGCTCGGGAAAGGGGGTCGCCGGCGTTGGGCGAAGCCGCGGCGCCCCCGAGGATGGCACGATGGTTACGAAGGTCTGTATCGTCACGGGCCCATTTTCCTCCCCTGCTCAGGCGGCTGCGGCCACACGGGAGGCTCCTTTTGCGAAAGGGACAAGCAAATTTGGGCGGCGAAGGGGGCGGCCGCAGAATGTGGCTCTCCCGCAGCACAATCCGAGAGACATTTGCGGTTCAAAACCGGGATGAAGCTGCTCCATTTCGCGCGCCCCACCCCGTATTTTGGACAAGGGAGACTTCCCAATACAGTGGTACCTCGGGTTACATACACTTCAGGTTACATACTCCATTAACCCAGAAATAGTGCTTCAGGTTAAGAACTTTGCTTCAGGATGAGAACAGAAATCGTGCTTCAGCGGCGCGGCGGCAGCAGCAGGAGGCCCCATTAGCTAAAGTGGTGCTTCAGGTTAAGAACAGTTTCAGGTTAAGAACAGACCTCCGGAACAAATTAAGTAGTTAACCTGAGGTACCACGGTATTCAGTTAAGGGGCTGTGCTGGTTGCGATAGCTTTATGTCACCAGGACAGCCTCTTGCGCCCCAAATTAAAATGTTGCACCCGAGTAGCTTGGAAGAATGGAAATAGGCAAAGAGACGGAGGGAGAGAGATTGCGACTACAGTATAGTTAAGTGATGATCGGAATAAGGATGCAGCCCCACCGACTGTCTGGAGTAGACATGTATTTGATAGATCGGGGCAGCAGGAGTAATCAAATCTTCTTTTGGATTATAGTGCTGTTCTTGGAACTTGATTAACACATAGCTCAAAATGTGCAGTGTTGCAAATATTTTCTGCATTTGATAAAGCCGCTAGTGTACTGTGGATTGCTTTATCTCGCTTTCAGCCATGGTCAAAGCTGCATCGAGCAGTGCATGTTACCAATATTAGGCCTATGGCAGGCATGGCCAAACTTGGCCCTCCAGCTGTTTTGGGACTACAATTCCCATCATCCCTGACCACTGGTCCTGTTAACTAGGGGTGATGGGAGTTGTAGTACGAAAACAGCTGGAGGGCCAAGTTTGGCCATGCCTGGCCTATGGTTATCCTGAGAGACATAACCAATGCAAAGTTACTCTTTAGTGTCCTTCCTAAGAGTTGTGGCTACTTTTAAACCTCTGTTGCTCTTTTTAAACCATATTGCTTTGGCTAGTGGCTGATGCAAATAAAGATGATTCTGAACCATTTGTTGAAGGTACATAACTCCATGGTGTGTGCTGCACTGTTTAGAATGGTCCTTTAGTTTTGTTGCAAATCTGCATTGACTATAGTTACAGGAGATACCAAAGGAGGAGTGAATGCACCTTTTATTTCTGTAGGAGAGTTATTGTATTTTCTATTCATTTTCTAATAAATAGTACTGGGGCTCTTATGACAATAGTACAAGAAGCAATATAGTGGCTTTAATTTCTAGAGTGAAAATAGCTAATTCAGAACTTATTTTTCTGATGATGCTCCTATCATTTATTCTCCAAAGTATTGCCACTACTTCACTGGGATTCTTTTTATATTTTGCTGGAAGCCGCCCAGAGTGGCTGGGGAAGCCCAGCCAGATGGGCAGCGTATAAACAATAAAATTATTATTGTTGTTATTATTCTCCACTGCTCTTTTTCTTGGTTGGGATACTGTTAGTCTGCTGTCTTCTCCCAGCAAACAGGGCAAGTAGCAATTGTAGCTGGACTTGTTCTTGGGCTGTGATAAATTTATGGCTGCTGGTCCTCTGAGGTGGTTAAAGGACAGGTTACCCTTTTGCCACCCTAGTGGGAATGAAGGAACTGATTGTTGCTTCAGGATTCAACTGAGTAACTGTAGAGCTTCATTTGCTTACCATAATTTCTACTAAATACAGGGAACAGGATAGGCAGTGACAGGGCTCTCTTATAGCAGCACCTTCCCCTTTAAGCAACAAGGCTTCCAAGTTAGAAAACTAGCTAATTCCAGGCAAATTGGGAGTATGTTCACTGCTTTTCAAAAAGTCAGGGATCCAATTTGCATCTGGCAAAAAGGGTTGCAGTTATGTCCATAAATTTCCTCTTGTGTACAGTGGTACCTTGGGTTAAGAACTTAATTCATTCTGGAAGTCCATTTTTAACCTGAAACTGTTCTTAACCTGAGGTTCGACTTTAGCTAATGGGGCCGCCGCGCTGCCACCGTGCGATTTCTGTTCTCATCCTGAAGCAAAGTTCTTAACCCAAGGTACTATTTCTGGGTTAGCGGAGTCTGTAACCTGAAGTGTCTGTAACCTGAGGTACCACGGTATATGAATACCGTACATCACAAAATAGTTTTTGATAACACTTACCTAGATAAATGATGGCTGAAGACTTGGCTTCAGTAGCCTTTTATAACTTCTAGAAGTCTCTTAAGAAAGATTGGTCTAGTTATGACTAACTGCAGTCCTATTCTGAAGTCCTGTTGAATTCAGTGGGGCTTACTCCTGGGTAAGTGTGGTTAGAATTGTAGTCTAATTCCAGTTGAAATCAACAAAACAATATTTTGCAATGTATTTAAATCCTCTAGTTTGTAGTGGGAAGTGACCACAATTAACTGATGGCCGTGACTCATTTGGCCATGATGGGGCCCTGTTACCTTCAAAACCTGTACAATAAGGACGACTTAAAATAACTCAGCTTTTATTCTTGTGTTTTAGGATGGAAGGCTTCAAGAAGCAATTGAGACTTTGCTTTCCTTGGAAAAACAGACTCGAACTGTAAGTATAGCATACTGAATAACATTGCTTTTTAAAAGGTCATTTTAAAAGCCCCCTATTATGGAATATATCATCTAGCACAGGGGTCAGCAAACTTTTTCAGCAGGGGGCTGGTCCACTTCTCCCTCAGACCTTGTGGGGGGCTGGACTATATTTTTTTTGGGGGGGGTGAACAAATTCCTATGCCCCACAAATAACCCAGAGATGCATTTTAAATAAAAGGACACATTCTACTCATGTAAAAACACATTGATTCCCGAATCCAGCCCCCGGGCCTTAGTTTGCCTACCCATGATCTAGCATGAATTTGTCACCCCTTAATTACTTTTAGCCATCCTATTGTACTTGGCTCTCTCGCAAGGGTTAAAATGGTGAGTCTTTTCCCAGACTTTCAATGCATGCATATGAATGGTGGGGATTTTTATTCATTCTAATAACTATGATTGCAGAAACAAGAGGGTGCAAAAAAGTTTTTCTTTGTTACCACAGCCTACAGGACCATGTGTTGTGCCTAGTGTTGCACCAGAGAGGTTGCACTGTCACAACAGAACTTTCATACCCTTTTGTTCACATGTACCCCCCAGATCTGCTCCACAGCTGATTTGGGGGGGGCTGGAGGGGACAGGAAAGGAAGTTCCTTTGTATGCACTGAAGTCACTTGTGCCAGTGAAGCTGCTGCATTAGATATGAGCCCCATGTTCAAATACTGCTAGTTGCTCTTCGGGAAGAAAGAATAAGTGGGTGGGAATAAAAAAAGGGAGATGTTCCTTGTTCTTTTAGCACACTGGTACTATTCCTCTTTGGTAGGTTTACTTGATGTGAGTAGTAGAACAGTGAATTGATCCTTAGCTTTGCTTTATGTAACCCAGATTTCCCTCTTACTTGTGGGCCTCAACTTGTCTTACAAGGTTGAGGACAAATTTCCATTAATAGCTAGTGACTTTTTTGGTAGCGCAACTCCATTTGGAAGTGCCAGGAATCTTTCTTTGTGTTTACACTGTAGAAACATCTGTGCTTAAGTATATACTTTTGTTTTTTAGGCTTCTGATATGATATCCACATCTCGCATTCTGGTTGCTGTAGTGAAAATGTGTTATGATGCTAAAGACTGGGATGCTCTTAATGAAAATATTATTATTCTGTCAAAGAGGAGAAGTCAGTTAAAGCAGGTAAGATTGTGTTAAGCCATAAGAAGTGTGGGGTGCTCAAAACCTTGTGTCCATATATTATCTCTTGAGTTTGGTTCACTGTTCTTTGTAGCCAACAACAGGAGGCACCTAGTCTTCCTGCAAAGTGTCTTTGCACCTACTGCCTCCTAAGGAGGGTTACAGGAGAAGAGTAGTGGGCAGAGGGTTTGTGCAGTTTGCAGCAGTTGCTCTCATCCGTGACACTGGTGCTGCATATCACAAAGTTGCAGCCTGCTGTCATTTTGAAAAAAGGAGTTGTGTCTCTGCTGCTGGTGGTTTTTTAATAATTCACCATTCCTGTGGCAAGTACACTGGAGGCTTCCCCTGCTGTTCTTGATAATATTAGTTGTCACTAATATCCTGGCAACTGTCAATAGAACATCTTAATTGTGCTGTGGTTTATAGAGTGAAGTTGGCAATGAGCTTTCAAAATAGCCTAATAATGCATGCATATTCTGAATATAGACAATAAAAGAGCTTTGGGCTTTTCAGAAATGCTTTATAAGGCATAGGTTTGGAGTGAATATATGTTAGGGCAGCATCCAATAATGCCAGCCTGCTTGCTCAGTGGGAGTTTCTCTTCTTCCCCCTGTGGCCAAGGGCCCACACCAAAAAATATTGTAGTCCTGCAGGCCCTCCAACCCTGGTTGCTTTATGAAGATGTCCTAAATTTGTAACGTACACATTATATGTCACTCGATGGTGAACGCTTGACTACTTTGTTCATACAACAGTTGTGGCAAGAGCATGCTATGCTTCCTTTTGTTTAGTCCCCCTCCTTCATTGGGAAGACTTGCTGCTTATTTTTGTTACTTCTTGTATCCAGAAGTAAAACCTCTATTTTCTCAGCTATATAACTTCTTGAAAAATGAAGGGTTTTTAAAAAAATTAAATTTGTTCTAATGAATGATAGCTGTTCATATAGATGTTAGTTTGCTTTGACCATCTATTTGCTGGACGGTGGATTAAAATAAATGATAGTGTACAAAAGACATACAGTATTTCCGTGGCTCAAAGTGTTCAATACCATCCAGGCATGCTCACTTGGTTGGTTGGTTGGTTGGTTGGCTGGCAGGTAGAATATTTGAGCTTTTTTTCCTTTTTCTATTTAAATTTATTTTATAAACATACAAAACAAATGCAAAAATTTCAGAAATGACAAAGGGGGCTATTCTCTTAATTTTTCAACAAAATCAGAAGATATGAGACAACATTTGTTAGTAGAAACATAAAGAGGCGCATATTTCTCACATTGGTAGCACCAAAGAGTCCTGGAGGTTAGCTGTATTGGTATAAATTATAAAAGTCCCACCACACATTATAAAAATGTTCTGGCCTATTCTGTTTCTTTGCTTGCTACGGTGATCGTCGACAGATTGGAGACATTTCAAGAGGGAGAGCGCAGCAAAGAGAGAGGAGGAAAAGGAATTATCTCACCTTGAGGCACAAATTTTTAATGAAAGATGTTGAAGGTAGTTCTGGATGTAAAGACCAGCATGTAGGACTTTTACCTGCAGCCCTGGGTGGGAATAGCCTGCATGGGTTCAATTTAAAATTTTTAAAATATCCATAAAGTAAAACATCATTGCTCTGTGAACATTTAGACTTTGAAGTAGAGTGCCTAAGGGAGGTAATGAAATTTCCCCCATCAAAGTTTTTGAAGACTAGATTAGATACGTGTTGTACTGTATACACGGAATACTCTACTTTTAAAAGTATATGTTTAATGTTACGGGTATAACATGTTATGGCAGTTCTACATTACGATTTAGCACTATATGCAAGACAGCAATGAACCATCAGCATGGGAAAGTAGATGGGGTAGTATTGTAAAGCATTGTTTATCATGAACCATCTTAGAGAAAAGATGCTACATTAATTGGGGGAGATGATGACGAAGGAAGGATAATCATCTGATACATCATGTGCATGTGTGATACAGACAACCAAGTTCCACTCTTCAATCAGGTCCACAGTAGTAACACTAACTCTAGGAAGAAATTGTGCTTTGGGTATTGGAAAAATACAAGAAACCAAAATCCTAATTTGGTGGAAACTTACTATTTTTTCTATTTTTATAAAATAAAAACGTTTTTGAAAAATAATTTGCCCCAATGACATTTGGCACCTTCAACGAAAGTCTGATATAGTGTGACACAAACAAATGGAAATAGTGGTCTATTGGAAGGCCTTTGTTGCACAGGAGGGGAAGTTTGCATCTTTTATAATTTACCAAAGCCACACACCGTGCTAGTATATAATGTAAAGGCCTATGTTAACTGTATTGTGAGCTCAAGCTTTGGTCACTGAGAAATAAACAAGTAGTTCTAGTGAAAGTCACTATAGGATATAGGCAAGTTCTGTTGTTTTGCATAAAATGTATTTTAGACTAAATATCCGTTTTAGCACCTTTAAAGCAAAGCTGCTAAAGTGAGAAAATGGGAGGAAGCATTTGAGCCGAATCCTGCATGAGAGCTGTCTGCTCATTGTGGTTTATATCTAAGTATAGGAGCAAAGTGTTAGTGGTAACTCCCTTTTCACGGCAAATGTGGCTAACCATTTTTAATTGCAAAGTTTTTCCATTTTGACAGGTATGAAACAGCATAAAAGATAGTGTTCGGATAAATGGGCTATGTTGGCATAGGATTACAAGTTTTCTCATTATTTGTATTAGGCTGTTGCTAAAATGGTCCAGCAGTGCTGTACTTACGTTGAAGAGATCACAGATCTGCCAATCAAACTGCGTTTAATTGATACACTGCGTATGGTTACGGAAGGAAAGGTAAGTATTTTTCTTTTTAAAGAACCGTGCACTTATTTCAAGACTCCCTTGTATACACTCTTGAATCTTAAAACAGCAGCTCCTGTTGATTCTCCAGAACCGATTGTTGGTGGGGACTGCAGAGGGAAGAGCAGAAGGAGAAATCCTGTTACACAAGCAAAGGTCCACTTGTGTGATGTTGGATCTCACCCTATGAGTTGTACCTTTCTAGGTCATATTTGGAGTGCCCACAGAAATCAACGAAAAAGATTATCTAAGGTCTTCCCTGTTAGCCTTGAGCAGGCTTCCTCAACCTCGGCCCTCCAGATGTTTTGAGACTACAATTCCCATCATCCCTGACCACTGGTCCTGCTAGCTAGAGATCATGGGAGTTGTAGGCCAAAAACATCTGGAGGGCCGAGGCTGAGGAAGCCTGGCCTTGGGCATTAATTTTTCCTAATTGTGTTCTGACAAATCCTGGGATGCTGCTTTGCCACGAATGAGCCCTACATGGGGGAGCCAGGAGGGGGCTGGCCTGATTATTGAGTGAGAGTGCAGCCCTTAGTTTGGTAGCAGTAGTGCTGTGGCCTGTAAGAGCCCATCACCAGGAGCCCTTTGCTGCACTGTGGTGGAATGGAAGTTGGGACCCTTCTCTCCTGGCCCATAAAGAAAGGCCCATTCCTATGGCTGCAAGCAGTGCCATCGCCAGCTCCCCCCCCCCCCCAATAGTTTGTGATGATGAGGCAAATCATGCAGTGTTTGTGTGGGCCAAACATACTGCATAAAGTTAAATGCTTTCTGCTTCTTTTATAGATCTATGTTGAAATTGAAAGAGCTCGGCTGACCAATACTCTTGCAACAATAAAAGAGCAGAGTGGTGACGTGAAAGAAGCTGCTTCAATTCTGCAAGAACTTCAGGTGAAGGAGCATATATGCTCGAATACATGACATTGTTTGAAGTACTGCAACTTTAACCCTTTTTAAAATACACTTTTAAAAAAATCTTGCTTCAATTGTCACTGTAATAGAAATGGAAAAAATGAGCAAACCAGGAGCTTTTGGTAACTATCTTTGTATTTTGAATATGTTTTACAGCAGTGCATTTATATGTTAGGCTGGATCCACACAATGGGGCTTTCCTGACATCTTCCATTCCTCACTGCATTCTAGTGGGGTGGGTGGGACTATTTAGAAAGGTTTGGGATGGAGCTTGAGTGTGTGTACACGAACGCTGCAGCAAGACTGAAAAATGGGAAAATTCAGTCGGGACTGTTTTGCACACTTTGTAGAAATCTTTGCAAAGCTTAGGTGCTGTCACTGAAGATTGCCAGCTTTCTAATAATATTCTTATAACCTCATTTTCTGGGCTGATGTGCTAAACTGATTTCTGTCAAGAACCAGAACCAATAAAGGTTCTCTATATGAATTATGCAGACTGTATTTAAACAGATAACGAATCGTTAATACAGTGGAACCTCGGTTTTCGAGCATCTCAGAAGCCAATCATTTCGGAAGCCGAACACCGCAAACCCAGAAGCAATTGCTTCTGTTTTCGAACGCACTTCGGAAATTGAATGGCTTCCGCTGCGTGCTTTTCCATTTTTTCAATGGATTTTGCCGACCGCCCATTGATCCTCGGTTTTCAAACGTTTCAGAAGTTGAACAGTCTTCTGGAACGGATTACGTTCGAAAACCGAGGTTCCACTGTACATTTTGCCCCCCCAATACTAAATGTTGCAATGTACTTGAACCATTTGAACTTCTAGTACAATTATTACAAATTTCTAGTTTACTGTCCTTAAATGGATAAAAATTGGAATTAGTTATTGAATTGCTTTTATCACAGAATGCTATTATTTGCTATTCTTAAACAGTTTGAAAAAGCTTTCACCCTTCAGCTATTGGCTGCAATGGTGTCAGGTGACTTTATTATCCAGTTGTATTTTAAAAGGTACAGTACAACTTGCGCTGCCCATAAAAAGCAAGACTTGAGTGAGAGACTAGGGTGATGTCTGCTGTTTCCAGGAATTCTTCTCGTTCTGAGAGTTTATTTGAACCCTGGGTGAGAACCCGGAGGGTATGTCAGAAGGAAAATGAATTATATTAATAGCAACTTTGCATTAATGTAACTTTTTTGTAATATTTTCAGTTGTCTTTTGCTTCAGTTTTCTGCACATTGCTTAATTTTTAATATATTAAGCAGTATAAAAATTAAATCACTTGAATACTATGGGGCAGGGGTGTATTTTTCTTGTGAGCTGTTAGTATAATAGGCCTGGTAAAACATCTTTAGATTCCTAAAGGTTGATGTCAATTTGATGTCAAGACTTGGAAAAATGTCTGATGAAAGCAAATTAATAGAAGTCTGGTTATGGAAATATGTACAGCAAATAGGGTGTGCAAAACAAGTTATCTGCAGATCAACAATAAATACAAATCAGGGAGTGGAATTCAGTGTTGTGGTAAGGTGATCATTCTGTCAGTGGAAGCATTTCTCCCTTCTACCCGGCCAGATGGGCTTGGAAGAAGAAGAAGACTTATTAGTATTACCCCACCGTACACTGTTCTGTGGGTTCTCCCAGCCCTCCCATGGAGCTTGGTGGGGGAGAAATTCTGTTGAACTGGCTTCTTCTCTAACACAACAGTTCAGTTGAATCCAGCCCAAGATTTTTAAATTTCAAAGTTTTTCTAAGAACAGCAGTACCTGAAGTTTAAAAATTTAAAGTATAGTAACTGAAGCATAAATGCTGGCATGTAAACTGTATTTGTATGTCTACAGAAGCCATCTTTCTGTACACTTATGATTTAGTTGCAAGACAGCTTTGATGGATAATTGTACCTTGCAAGCTTTAGTTTTGCATATCGGTCTATAAAGTATTAATACATTCTGAATTTTAGGTGGAAACCTATGGATCAATGGAGAAGAAGGAACGTGTGGAGTTCATCTTGGAGCAGATGAGGCTTTGTCTGGCTGTGAAAGACTATATCCGAACTCAAATTATTAGCAAAAAAATTAACACCAAATTTTTCCAGGAAGAAAACACAGAAGTAAGTCTGGTGGTGGACAACTTATACTAAGCTGGTTTAGGGGGTGTTATGGGCATGTTTTAAATGGATTTCTCTGTCACATTGGGGAAATTTTACAACCATTTCTGTGTTTAACCTGACACTGTGTTACATTTCAGAAATTAAAACTGAAATACTACAATTTAATGATTCAACTGGATCAACATGAAGGTTCCTACCTTTCCATTTGTAAGCACTACAGAGCCATTTACGATACTCCTTGCATCCAGGCTGAAGGTGAAAAGTGGCAGCAGGTAAAAAAAGACAGAAAGAGAAAGTAGCAAATACACTGTAACCTGTTCAATTGTCTGCAAAAAATATCACGTAAAGGAACATTCTTTTTTTATCATTTGCTATTGTTTTGGAGAGGGCTGCTGTTATGCACTGTGCTCAAGATTTCACTTTCTTGAATTTCTTCATGTGGCTTAGTTTTCTTTGTGAGAACCCCCCTCCCCCCAAAACAAATCAATTGGTCACAGCCATAATATTATTTTCTGTTGACTACGTTATAGCTAAAGCTGTGCCAGTGGAGTAGATTCCATTCAGACTATATAGAAAACATCTGAAGACTTACGTTCAGACAGTTCACAGGCTGATATTGCAACTTCAGAAGAAGCAGGCAATTAAGCCAATCCCAGCCTTAACCCATGCATCATGAACCTAACACAATATCTGTTTTCCTTGCCTGCATAATTTAATGAGAGGGCAGGATCTCTCAGCATTCCATTATCCACTGCAGTGTCTACTCAGTAAGCATCTGAAATGGGCCTGATTGTCATACATTTGAGATGTAGAAAGCTGCTAAGGAGGCAAGAACTCCTTGTAGTCTGCTCCCACTTTTGCACTAGTGTCAAGAAACCAGCATCACCTGAATTATCTTCCTTGCTTTGGTAATATTTGAAAAATCTCTGTCATCCAATTCAAGTGTGCAGATCAAGCAAACAGTATAGTCCTATTTCAGATTGTGGGTGGGGGCTGAATTAATGCCAGCTAACTTACATTACAGCTTTCCAAAGGAAGGAATTCGTTTAAATGCAAGACTGCCTTTTTATTGTTTGCATGTTACTTTTCTTACATGAATCATTACTTCCATTTTTTAAAAAAAAATTCTAGAATGTCCCTAAAGAGCAAGGGATGTATAATAATTTTAAAATGCTGGTTCTAAATAAGATTCCTGTTTGCAACACAAGATTGGATTTGATGACCGATGTAACATCTTGCAGCTCCCTGCTTGTGTGATCCCATAAGGTGGAGTCAATTTTAGTACCTTGGGTTGTATCCAGTGGTTGCGAAGGCAGGTGTTAGCTCATGCAGCCAATCATTCTCTTACTTTCTCTTTGCGTAGCCATTGGCTATAGCCCTCCGTAAATTACAGAAAGTTAGATTCATAGGTTGTCTTCTGATCAAGCTGGTGATTTCAGCTTTGTGTGTTTGTTTGCTTTCTTGCATTGCTGACTCTTGTTCAACTACAAAATCAAGTTTCTTCCTATCTTCTTTTAAACAGGCACTGAAGAGTGTTGTTCTCTATGTTATCCTGTCACCTTATGACAATGAACAGTCTGACCTGGTACACAGAATAAGCACTGATAAAAAACTAGAAGACATTCCTAAGTACAAGTATGTAGCTTTCCTGTTGGCATGCTAATATACTGAGAAACTATCCCCGTAGAATTTGGTGTGACATTTGAAATGTTGTGAAAGCCAGCTAGTCAAGATGTTTATTTAAGGTAGGGTGGAGAACCTATGACTACTATTGCAACTCCCATCATCCCTGACCATTGGCCATTCTGGCTGATCTGGAGGGCCACAGGTTGTTCCCCCCCAACTGACAATTTGTAAAATGGCTCAGGCGTTTGTACCCTGCTATTACACATACAAGTAGGGATTTACATTCACAAACTTTCACATATTATTTATAACAAACCAAATCAGAACTGGCATCCTTGAAGTACATTCTGCAGTGAACATGGACATACATTTCTGTATACTGTGTAAATGCAATTCTCTGAATTATTTTTCTAATATATTAATAATCAAAAAGAAACTGCTGTGTTAAATACATTGGTAATGCTGGCAGAAATCTTAAAGGCAAACCTACTATGTTAAGGTGAAGCAGAACAACTTTGTCAATCAACAATTTACTGAGGCTTTTTTATCTCTCCCCCCCCCCCCCCAACAGAGATCTTTTAAAATTATTTACCACTATGGAATTGATGCGTTGGACTACCCTGGTTGAGGAATATGGAAAAGAATTAAGGGAAGGTTCTCTAGAAAGTCCTGCAACAGATGTGTTTGGTTACACAGAGGAAGGTGAAAAGCGATGGAAAGATTTAAAAAACCGAGTTGTGGAGCATGTAAGTTCAATCTGCTTTCTAGCAACAAGTTAGGACTAGGAGGAATACTATTTCTGACAATCATCCTGTTTATAAAATGTTTTATTAAAAAAAAAGTGTCGGGAGCTACTGCTCAAGTCAGGATGTAGTTAACACATTCTAGCAAAGTGTAAGACCCGTGTGTGTGTGTGTGTGTGTGTGTGTGTGTGTGGTGTAACAATATAATATCTCAAACATTCTTTTGGAAGCCAAACGTCCGATGGGGATTCCGCAGCTTCCGATTGGCTGCAGGAGCTTCCTGCAGCCAATATGAAGCCACGCTTGGTTTTTGAAAGCTTTGGAAGTCGAACCAATTTCCGGAACGGATTCCATTCAACTTCCAAGGTACTACTGTATACGTATATAAAAGATTTTAGGAAACTGGGGATTAAGGTAGGTTTATGTTATTTTATAGTCCCTTCTGATTAGCTGTGTGCATGTGTAATCTGAGAGTGTCTTACATACTAGCTCAAATACCAAAACTATATAATTGCTTGGCTTGTGCTACATCAGCCCTTGATTTCATTACAGCATATTATTTTTTTGTATTTCAACTGCTACTTTCTGATCACCTTCTATTCTTCTTTTCTTTTAGAATATTAGAATAATGGCAAAATATTACACCAGAATCACCATGAAGAGAATGGCACAACTTCTGGATTTATCAATTGATGTAAGGGATTCTCAGAATTGCTGAGGGCTTTTGTATCATCCTCTTGTTTCCAAAACTGCCGCCTGCAGGTTTCATTCAGGTGGTCCACGATGTGCCTGTGAAGAGCGCTTAGAGTAAATATAGTAAAATAGAATAGAAGAATGGGGGACGCGGGTGGCGCTGTGGGTTAAACCACAGAGCCTAGGACTTGCCGATCAGAAGGTCGCGGTTCGAATCCCCGTGACGGGGTGAGCTCCTGTTGTTCAGTCCCTGCTCCTGCCAACCTAGCAGTTCGAAAGCACGTCAAAAGTGCAAGTAGATAAATAGGTACCGCTCCGGCGGGAAGGTAAAGAGCGTTTCTGCGCACTGCTCTGGTTCGCCAGAGCACATGACCCAGAAGCTGGCCACATGACCCAGAAGCTGTACGCCGGCTCCCTCGGCCAATAAAGCAACATGAGCACCGTGACTGGACCTAATGGTCAGGGGTCCCTTTTCCTTTACCTTTAGAATATAAGAAATATAAGGAGCATTTTAAAAATACGATAAGAAATCATACCGCATCTAGCACAGCACTTTGCAGTTGCTACGACAGGCAGAAAACTCTTGAAGTGGTCTGTCAAGACTCTCAACAATTTTCAAGTGGTCTCGTGGGGGGGCGTATTTGGGGACCACTTTTGTTCGATTTTTTTAGTTGAACCTGCTCTTCAACATCTGTTGCAAAAGACATTATATGGAATTACATGATCTCAAATGCACTCTTAACCAGCTAACCTTTCTGCGACACTGTTATCAAATATAACTTTGGCCTGTGTCACACAAGATTTCCTTGACATGCAATAGTACTTTTCTTCTGTGCTACATCTTGGTTTGAGAATACTCAATATAGTTGCATCGCTGGAGACACAATTTTTAAAAAACTGTTTGAAATAAGAACGAGATAGCCAGACCAATGAAGTTGAAATGTATTCATTTCGGTGGAACAAAATCAAAGTCTGGATATCTTTGTCATGTTTCTATTTGTTTGTTTGTTTTATATTTATATCCTCCCCTTTCTCTTGAAGAATTCCCCTAAGAGACAATAGAATGTCACTCAAAGCAATTTTAAAAATTTTATCACCTAATTCAGTGCTGTTTGTTTGCTTTACAGGAATCTGAAGAATTTTTGTCCAACTTAGTGGTGAATAAGACCATCTTTGCAAAAGTAGATAGGCTGGCAGGAATTATCAACTTTCAGAGACCCAAGGACCCAAATAACTTGCTCAATGACTGGTCTCACAAGCTCAATTCACTGATGGCTCTAGTTAATAAAACTACACATCTCATTGCCAAAGAGGAGATGATACATAACTTGCAGTAAGGTGCTTCAGTGGCCTTAATGCTTTAGGGAGGCATTGAATTGGTTATAGAAAAAGACTTTATCCCACTGCATATTTGTTTTTTTCATCTCTTCCCTCCAGGTGAAATTTAGAACATAATCTCTCTTGAAGAATTGTTGAGAATTAAGTTCCTTTGATTATTCATTTGGTTTATAACACTTTTTTTGCTGCAATTGATGGAAAAACACAATAAAATTGTATTGCCTGTGTAATGGAAATGGCCTTTGATTTATCCCAGTTTGCCCTCATTTGTCCAGCAAATATTTTTGCATTGTCTATCTCTTATGATCTTCTTACCCTTCCAGGTGTATAAGTATGTTGTAATATTTTCTTTTATAAAGAAATGTAACAAGATTATACTTCAGTGTTAACCTTAAGTACCATTGTGTCTAGAAATGTCAGGTATGGAACTGAATTCCCATTTTTATTCCGGTGTTGTGGAATGGTAGTTTTATAGCAGAATGTGACCTAACAAAGGCAGCATGGAGCAAGTTGTACCTTATTTTCAATTTCCTATGGATAAATGTCTTTTGTTTGACTTGTATCTTTGCTACATTAACACTTGAGTAATTTTACCACATAATTGCAGGTGGCTCATCTTGTCTTGATAACTGTCTAGATCAGGGGTCAGCAGACCTTGTGGGGGACCGGACTATATTTTGAAAAATAATGAACAAATTCCTATGCCCCACAAATAACCTAGAGATGCATTTTAAATAAAAAGGCACATTCTACTCATGTAAAAACACACTGATTCCCGGACCGTCCGCGGGCCAGATTTAGAAGGCGATTGGGCTGGATCCGCCCCCCGGGCCTTAGTTTGCCTACCCATGATCTAGATTGTTTTAAGACTTTAAAATGAAAGCACAATGTGAATTAGTGAAGCCGGTGTTTTAATCTTCTGTTCTAGACTTCCACCTGAAGAAAAACCATATAGCTTAGGCTATGGTCCCTAAAGTAGTGTCTGATACAACATGTTCAACAAATATGTCTGTTATAAGGATATGTCATTTTTAATTAAACTAGATGAGCCACGTTTGGATGTAAAATGAATTCTTTTCCCGTTAAAGTTTTTGAAAGTTCTTAGAACGGTGCTGTAAGTGCCTCAGAAACTCTTGGTCCCATGATGGGTTACAACAGTATAACAACGCAGCGTTAAAAATATTCCACCAGCATGAATTTTTGCTTGGCTGTAGTCCATTCCACTTAGTTAATAGAAGGCCCTCCAACTTTCTGAAGCTGATTGCTGTTAGGCATAATATTAGGCATCTTAGGCATAGTATAGGTTGTATCAAATTCAGCCTGTGAGCAGAGCAATGTAGAATGGGGCTGCACCTTCCTTTCCTCCCTCCAGCTCTCTACCCTTAATATAAACCACAGAATTTTGAGACCACCCCACAACACGGGGGGGGGGGGATTTCTGTAGGTGAAACTGAAAGCCTTTTTTTGTGAGCAGAAGTACACTCGCCCAACTTCAAAACCTGCTCTATGTTTATGCCATTGACTGACTGAGGAGCTGAGCAGTATGTTCATTGTGCAACACACCTTATTAAAGAAAATGGCTAAAGAACTGTGACCAGGAGGGAAATAGCCATTACTAATGAACCACACACACTTGCAGAGAGTGAAAATAGGTAGATCATTAGCAATTTTGTGTATAAATGTGTATACAGTGGTACCTCGGGTTAAGTACTTAATTCGTTCCGGAGGGCCGTTCTTAACCTGAAACTGTTCTTAACCTGAAGCACCACTTTAGCTAATGGGGCCTCCTGCTGCCGCCGCGCCACCACTGTGCGATTTCTGTTCTCATCCTGAAGCAAAGTTCTTAACCCGAGGTACTATTTCTGGGTTAGCGGAGGCTGTAACCTGAAGCGTATGTACCCGAGGCACCACTGTATATAGAAGTATTTCTATACCACCACAAGCAGCTCAGTGACTTGATTTCACTCTTCTTGCCTGATAATGTCGTGTGAGTCGTAAAACAGCGTCTGTAAGTGGGAGGGCAACTTCAGATTCTACCTGTGGGTTTTGCAAAGTATGTGGTGATTCTTGATAGAAACCGAAGCCAACAAGAGGGTAAATGCAATTGCCAATGAACATGGGCAAAGCTTCAGTATCGTGCATATGTCCTTTATCCTTCTCATGATAATTGGAAACCAGTATAACCATAAGCCACTTACTACAACCTGTTGGATCCAAAAAGCAGCACTTTTACGGTTCGGGGAGCATGTAGCAGACTGGGCTGCAAAGTCACTCTTGTTATATCCCTGTTAAAATGAATGCAATACCCTGGCAGATCTGGACATTGACATGAGGTTCAGCATCTTCTACTGGCCAACCAGATGCCCACGGGAAGCTTGCATGTGAATAGTAGGACTGGCCTATGGGCAGATGTGATGCCATAGTATTAAAAAATAAATGATCAGTAAGGGACGCGGGTGGCACTGTGGGTTAAACCACAGAGCCTAGGACTTGCCAGTCAGAAGGTTGGCGGTTCGAATCCCCGCAATGGGGTGAGCTCCCGTTGCTCGGTCCCTGCTCCTGCCAACCTAGCAGTTCGAAAACACATCAAAAGTGCAAGTAGATAAATAGGTACCGCTCTAGCGGGAAGGTAAACGGCGTTTCTGTGCGCTGCTCTGGTTCGCCAGAAGCATCTTAGTCATGCTGGCCACATGACCCAGAAGCTGTACACCGGCTCCCTCGGCCAATAAAACGAGATGAGCGCCGCAACCCCAGAGTCAGCCACGACTGGCCCTAATGTTCAGGGGTCCCTTTACCTTTAAGTAATCCAAATAGGTCCAACAGTAAATTGCCATTCTTAATGGCTGTCGGAACCAGGAAAATAAATGTAAAACACAAGCAGGAAAACAAACTCTTCTTTTTTAAAAATTAAGATGCCTTCAAGAAGTGCAGAAACCAGGAGTTGTGCCTTTGGTATGCACATTTAATATAAAGGACCATTTCTCTTTACTTAATGAGCTAATATTTGAAAAAAAGCACACACTCTGCCCTCTTGATAAAATGATCACATTCTCCTTAAAAGAGACTAAAGCATATGGAAATTAAAAAAAAGAACACTGTGCTGTCAATAAAAAGGCTTTGCGATCCTTTCGTACCTCAAAACCTCCTAAATAATAATTAAAAAACTCTTTTAATTAAGGCGATGTGTGTTCTCACTTTGAGTAAATTGGCAATGGAGCCAAGGCTTTTAAACGGCCGCCAAGATCAGCCTTGCTCTGAACACTCACTTAGAATTTTACTGCCCTAAACTGATAAAAGGGAACAAGTTTCAACACTGCAGTTACCCTGAAGCACTCTTTTCTTCATCATCCAGGACTTTAAAGAGTTCAGTTTCATTCCTTTGAAAGATCATGATGCTATCCGTTCTATGTTAACTCCCTCCAGCTTCCCATCTCCCCCCCCATGCCAGCAATGATTTATCATGCCGCTCTATATAGCAAGGTGTTTTGTACTGAATGTCTGTATTTTAAAGTTTGTTGCATCTATTATTTGATGCACAGGACATAATAGTCCACCTGGATCGGTCCAGAATTCTGTTCCTCTACAATGGCCAACCACACACCTTTTCCAGAAAGCCCTGAAGGCAATAACCTTTCCTGCTGTTGCTCCCCAGGACTGCTGGTCCTGGAGATTTTGGATATTGCACACATGGCAAGTGGCTGCTGTTGACAGACTGTCATCCCCCATTAAAAGCCATTTAAGTGAGTAGCTCTCACTCCATCTTGCTGTTGCAAATTTCAGACAATTATGTGTTGCCCTTTATGCATCTTTTCTAGTTCTAAAATGCTCCCCACAATCCTGGTTTTTGTTGTTGTTTTTAGATGTGAACCTAGCTTCAAATTTCTAATCAGCCACAAACTTTACTGGTTGACATTGGAACAATCATTTTTTTCTCAGACTAGCCTAGCTCAGAGGCTTGGTGTGAGAATATATGTTCATTCCTTGATTCATTCCTTATTCCAGTTATATCCAGCCTTTTCTCCAGGCGGCTCATTGTGATATACACTGTGCCTTCTGCACCATGTTATCCCTCTCAACAACCCTGTGAGGTAGGCCAGGCTGGGAGTTGTTGAGTGGACCAAGATCACCCAGTGAGCTTCACGGCTGCATGGAAATTTGAACTTTTGTTTCCCCAGTCCTTGTGCCATGCTCCACTCACTACATCGCAGTGGCAGAGCTAAATTAACTTCAGTAACATTCCCTGCAATACTTTACCATAAATACACAATTTTCTCCTGTTGAGCAATCTGTGCTGATTTGTTGTTTCATTGCTGCTTTTAATTATGTTTTAATTAATGCTTTTGACCTAGTGGTCCCGGGCCCTAAGGAAGTTAGATTAGCTTCACCCAGAGCCAGGGCCTTTTCAACTCTGGCTCCGGCCTGGTGGAACGCTCTGTCTCATGAGACCAGGGCCCTGCAGGATCTGATTTCTTTCCACAGGGCCTGTAAGACAGAGTTGTTCCGCCTGGCCTTTGGCTTGGAGCCAATTTGATTCCCTCCCTCCCTCTCTTTCTTTTTTCCTTTCCTTCTCCTCCTGCGATGAGGCTACATTTTAATATTTTAATGTTGTATTTTAATTTTGTTTTTAAGTTGTCATTCAACTTGTTTTTATTATTGCTTGTAAGCCGCTCTGAGCCCGGCCTTGGCTGGGGAGGGCGGAGTATAAAGAAAAATTATTATTATTATTATTGGTGATTTTCTTTTCTTTTATGAAAGTGCAGATTATAAATATGTGAATAAAAATAAATAACCAAATACTACCTATAGCTCTTTGGGGGAAAGATTGGGATAAATAGGAAATATGAATAAGCATGCTTAGCATTGCAGCCATTGGGATAGCCTAGCCCTTCTAAAGCAGTGTTTTTCCCCAAACGTTTTGAACTTTGGCCCCACTTCTGAGTTTGCTTTACTTTGCGGTTCCTGTAATCCCAAAATCTGTTGTACGGGTGACTGTGCAGAGATTATCATTTGCAGCTGTATGCAGGGTTCTTTGGACTGGTGTGAGAATATTTATACAACAGTGGCAGCAGCAGAATAAAATACCGTATTTTTCGCTCTATAAGACGCACCAGACCACAAGACGCACCTAGTTTTTGGAAGAGGGAAACAAGAAAAAAAATATTCTGAATCCCAGAAGCCAGAATAGCAAGAGGGATCGCTGCACAGTGAAAGCAGTGATCCCTCTTGCTGTTCTGGCTTCTGGGATAGCTACGCAGCCTGCATTCGCTCCATAAGACGCACAACCATTTCCCCTTACTTTTTAGGAGGGAAAAAGTGAGTCTTATAGAGCAAAAAATACGGTAAATGAAAATCTCTGCCCTCCACGCCAAGAATGATTAGTGTTTTATTTTATTTATTTATTTCATTTATTTTAAATATTTGTTTATTTTTTTTAATTTTTAACAATCATCCACACTAATCAGACTTTCCAATAAAAAATACAGAGTTTGACTTCCGTCCCCCCTTCTGTAGTTTCTTATGTTTTCATTTTCATTACTGCATCTCCCACTTAATTCCAGTTATTAGTTACTCCCTATGTTTTCCTTAATAAATACATTTAACCGCTTGCTTTAAATTAATTTTGCTAATGAATTTAGCTGTTTACAATGATTTTTCAAATAAGTAAGTAAAGTAAAATAAAATTTTATTTATACCCCGTCCTCCCCGGCCAAGACCGGGCTAAAGGAGGCTAACATCAAATATCAAATACATTAAAACACAATAATTAAAAATTAGAATCAGGATAAAATTAAATGACTGCCCACAAATTACAACCATAGGGGTCGGGAACCTCAAGTTTTCACCAGGGTAAGCTACAGATCTTCCCCATTCTTTGTTAAAAGTTATTTCTTCTTGGCTTCTTACTCTTCCACTAAGTTTTGCCATTTCAGCATTGAACCCTTAACCTGCAAACCTTTGTTTCTAGAAGGAAGAAAAACTCCTGAATACTATATATATATATATATATATATATATATATATATATACACACACACACACACACACACACACACACACACACACACACCAACCACTAGGTTTTGGTCCAAGTTGTTAACAGTTTCTATTCACTTTTTACCTACCGATGAACTAAAATTTAATTTCCAGCTTTGCAAACACATTCTCTCTGTTTATTTTCTATGACTTCTACAGGACCTGCGTGTTCCGAATAGGCAGATCTGAGTAACTGCGAGATCAGGAACTAACCATTTTTGTTCCTCTGTTACAAGAGCCCACAGGACAACTTGAAAATCTGTTCAGCACTTCGCAGAAGCTAATCTAATCCAAGGCAGCACAACAATTCGTGGAATCCATTTGAAGCCTGTTTCAGTCTGCATATGTTTGGGCTTTAAT